TGTGGATTTGATGCATAAAATGCCAGCTCGAAATCTTATTTTCATTCTATTTAAAATTAGGGACATGAATGGGGCAATCATCTTTTTTTTTTACCAACCTTATTAGTGAACAGAATTATTAGCCTTTACCAGATAAAATAAATCAAAGTTTTTTCCCCCGAACCTCAGAAAACAAGGACACGGACTCAGTCTCTAGCCTCCAGCACGCAGGCAACCTCCCTTGTGAACCTGGGTAAGAAATCTCTGCCATGCACACTCTCGCCTTTTTTTTTTTTCCCTATTATACAGAGGGGGTGACCATATCATTTATTGTCCAGACTGGACCCTTTTTTTTTTTCAAGGTGAGAAACCAAATATACAAATGAACAACAGCCTGACCCTATATACAAACAGAGCTGTGACTTACACTCTGCAGCATCCGTCCCAGGAAGAAAGCCTGCTATCTAGAAGTCGTCAGGCTCGTAGAACGTCAGACCGTTACTGCAGCAAACGATCCAGGAGGCCAACAATTTTTTTTTTAACAACTGGCCCCAGATGGCCAGGACTCCATTAATAACTGACAGCTTCCCTGGTTTTTGTCCCCACTTCCCATTTCGGGACCAGCCGGAGAAAGCAAAATGCACTGCCCTATTTACATAGGATGCCCTGCTTCTAGTTAGCCGTCCTGCAGCTTCCCCAGGCCAACAGCCTCCAGCCGGGGACCCCCCCCGGGAAGCCGCCCCTGTTCCAGCCACAAAGCTTGGCTGCCCCTCTGTCTGCCTTTGAGCCTCTGCCAGAACATGGTGGGGGCGGCTGCCTTGCTGTTGTGAGCTCTGTTTTTTTTTTGCCTGTTCTCATTTGGATGATTTTCATTTATTTCCACAAATTACTGCACTGTTTTTTTTTATGCTGCATCAAGAGGCAAAAATCGGGACTGAGTCAGGACTAGATCACCCAAATCATAAAGCACCATCCACCAAGACGCTGTTAGTGAGCTAAAGTCTGGGAGGGCGAACGTGTGAAGAACAGACGGTGGAGTGTACCGCTACCGCTAGGTGGGGTTTTGCATCATTACAGACCTTTTTTTTTTTCCATCATTGCAGGAAGCTCTTGACCTACATGTGCACTCAGGGTACTAGTCTTTTTTTTTTTTGGTTTGGATGTATGGTATACTGGAATTGTTGGAAATTTGTCTTTAGGGCAGTAATTGCTAAAAGTAATTCCAGCAGAAAGTGTTCAAACATACCATTATTGATACCCAGTTTTTTTTTTCTTTTAATTATTGCCTGCAGCCCCTGAGGCAGTAAAGAGGTTAAAAACATAGTGCTCGCCCTTGAGAAGCTGGCATTCTGGAAAGTATTTCAGGTTGGTATGAGTTACATAATTTGCAAATTTTGCCCAGTGCAAAATTAAAATAAGGGGCCACTTGTTCAAAAAGTATTAAGAATTTCAAGGTGGAAACACTATGTGGCAAGAAAAGAAAAAGAAAGAAATCTTTTTGATTCAGAACAATGAGGAATACTATATTTATTAAAAGTAATACCTTTCTTTGACAGCCATACAAAAATTTTTCAAAAAGAACAAGTTTAAGATTCTACAGGGTGTTAAATTTTTTTTCTTTTAAAGATTTTTTTTTTTTATTTGACAGAGAGAGACACAGCGAGAGAGGGAACACAAGCGGGGGGAGTGGTTTTTTTTTAAGCAGGATCCCCCCTGAGCAGGGAGCCCGATGCGGGGCTCAATCCCAGGACTCTGGGATCACGACCCGAGCTGAAGGCAGAGGCTTAACGACTGAGCCACCCAGGCGCCCCATTTTTTTTTATTTCTTAATAAAATTAGAGTTGGCAAGAATATGGTCAATAAAAGTAATAGTGAAGAGGGTGCATTTCATACCACACATTTAAAATGTTCAGTGCTTTTTTTTTTTTTTAAGATTTTTTTTTTTTATTTGACAGAGAGAGACACAGTGAGAGAGGGAACACAAGTAGGGGGAGTTTTTTTTTTAAAAGGAGGCTTCCCGCCGACCTGGGAGCCCGATGAGGGGCTGGATCCCAGGTTTTTTTTTTCATGATCTGAGCCGAAGGCAGACGCTTAACGACTGAGCCACCCAGGCGCCCTTTTTTTTTGCTTTTCATGGTGAAACACTTGTGCATACTATTAAGCAAAATATTTATTTTTTTTTTTTTTGGGGGCGCCTGGGTGGCTCAGTTGGTTAAGCGACTGCCTTCGGCTCGGGTCATTTTTTTTTGGTCCTGGCATCAAGCCCCGCATCGGGCCCCCTGCTTGGCGGGGAGCCTGCTTTTTTTTTTGACCCTCCCCCTGCTTGTGTTCCCTCTCTCGCTCTCTCTCTCTCTCTCTCTGTTTTTTTTTTAAATAAATAAAATCTTTAAAAAATAAAAAAATAAAAAAAAAATTTTTTTAATTTTTTTTTATTTATTTGAGAGAGAGAGCACGAGAGGGGGAGGGTCAGAGGGAGAAGGCGGCTCCTCATTGAGCAGGGAGCCCTACACGGGACTGGATCTGGAACTCCAGGATCATGACCTGAGCCGAAGGCAGTTGCCCAACCAACTGAACCACCGGGCGCCCCAAGCAAAATATGTTTTAATTTTTTTTTTTTGTAACCCATAATACAGTAAACCATAGGGAGAAGCAAGGACTGGTTTGTATGGGTGCTGTATATTTCCTTCTCCTTGGGGTTCATAAGTGAGGCTCCTTTTCTGGCGCGCTTTTTTTTTTCCCATTTGTCACGAGAGATTCTTATAGAGTGGACACATGGCTTTGATGATTTTTTTTTTTTGACACTGATGATCCCCATTAGCCTAAACTTAGAAAAAAAAAAAAGAAAGAAATTTTTTTTTTGTCAAGGTGGCAAGAGCAGACCATTAAACCAAGTGTGGGGATCTTCTAAGCACTAAGGCCTTTGTGAAGGGACAGGTCACACACCCATGAAGTCAACCCTAAATGTAGATAGTTTTTTTTTACAAATTACAGAGTAACAAAGTATGCTGTTTCATATATATTGTGATGCTGCTTTTTTTTTTAGCCCCTTTTTATTCCATGCGGTATATCTGGCATGCTCACAATTAAATTACATTTTTTTTTTTATTAGACATTGACTCTATTTGTACTAATTACTATAGGAAATCTTTGCTAATTTTTTTTTTAATCAAGTACATAAATACTTAATCTAATAAAAAAAAGATGGTATAAAAAGGTTTTTTTTTAATTCTTTTGCTCTTCCCCACAAGACTCAGGACAGGGCAGGGTCTGAAACAGGTAAGCACTCAATAAACCTGTGTTGAATATTCAATGGGTGGAGATTTTAACAAAGGGAAATACTGGGAAAGGCCAAACCCGAGATGGCTAGCTAGGATTCTAGAGAAGTCAGACTGGCCAGGAAGGGCATCGGAGACAAGAGGAAACGTCAGCGAAAGCCAAGTGCTATGTTTAAGTATTACCTTTTTTTTTAGCTGGACGCCTCCTAGAAGCAGGAATCTTGTTTCTTCCCGGCTGAACCAGTGTCTGCGACGTAGCAGCCCTTCAGGACTGACCCAGTAAATGCAGTGAAGAAGTAGGAGATGTTTTTTTTTCCAAGTCAACCAAAGTTTTGAATATCAGAGTGAGAATCTATATTAAGTGTACGGATAAGAACCATTGAAAAGAGCAGTGATGTGATCTGAACTCTGAGGGAAAAACAAGCCTGTGGTATCCTTGATGTGGTTTTGGAATATAGGTGAGCTTTGGCGAGGTGAGGTCCGGAGCCAACGGCCAAGAATGAGACTTCTTAGGTGTAAAAAGGTGATTTTATTAAAGCACGGGGACAGGACCCATGGGCAGAAAGAGCTGCTGCCCCAGGGTTGTGACGGGTGACCGATTATATACTTGGTTTTTTTTTGAGGTAAGTAAGAAAAAGGGAGGTTTCAAAAGGATTTTCGTATGTTAGACTCACAGGATCCCCGAGGCCTTGCCATTGTCAAGTTAAGGTTGTTTTTTCCTCTGGCGAGGCATTAACAAGAAGTTGAGAGTTTCCTGGAGGAATGTCACACTTGTCCCACCCTGGGACGGGGCGTTTTTTTTTGAGGAGTTTGCAGGGTGTCGGCTTGAGCTTTGTGCTCAGCCAGCCTTCTGCTTTTTTTTTTTGAGTTATGTGCTAACATCTCGCAGCTTCTAAATCCACCTTCTCCGCCCCTCCAACCTTAATAAACACCATTGTCATAAGCCAAATAAAACCTCAAACGGGAATCTTGAAAAACGGGAGGAACCAAGCACGTACACAGAAACGGAAGCCGGCAGCTCTGGGCGTGTGTTAACGTTTTTTTTTTCTTTGTGTCTTCTCAACTGCATAATAAAACCTCACTTGCAAATACGGACGTTTTTTTTTTTCCTGGGCAGCTTCTAGGTCTAGCTGTAATCCTGCCCTGGACGTGCTCGACAAACCGCGGCGGAAAATGGGCGGAAAATCGCGCAAGATGACCAGCTTTCCCAACGCGGCGGACGCCGGGGTCACCTGCGCGCACCTGCCGGCTCAGCCCGGCGCCCAGGTGGGGCCTCCCTGCCCAGCTGGGTGGCGCCGAGTTTCTCCCTGACTTCATCGTCCCAGGCGTCTCTAGGTTGGGGGTTTTTTTTTATTCGGACAAGACTAGGGCTGCACGGTGCAGGGCGTGGGTGGAGCCCGACCCAGGAACCCAGGCGGAGCGGCGCCCCCGGGAAGGTCTTTGTAGCCGGCCGGCGCGCGCACGCGTGTCCGCACAGCGAGAACAATAAAGTTGAGCGTGTTCAAAAGGGGTCCTTGTCATCCGGGGCCCGCTGGACAAGCCTGCAAAGTAAGACTCCCAGAAAGTCCCTGGTGCTGGCAGGTGTCGTTTTTTTTTGGGGCGTTTTCCACACTCGCGGTGGGACAGCGCCGGGGGACGGCGCGGAATCCGGGCTGGCGGGCGCAGGCGGGGCGGCCGGCCCGGCGATTGCCGCGGGCAGCCCTGCGAGGACCCCGGCCCCAGTGGAGCCTGCGGCCGACGCGCGCGATGAAGCCCAGACCGGCGGGGTTCGTGGACAACAGACTGAAGCAGCGAGTCGTGCAGGTAAATATTGTGCGCGGCCCTTTCTCGGCGGCTCCCAGGCCAGCGTGGACCAGCCGCCCGCCGCGGCCCGGGTCCTGGGCGGTGCGCGGGCCGCCCCTCTGCCGTGGCCGGGCTGCCCGGAGCCGGGGTCCAGGCAGGTGCGGCCCCGGATTTTTTTTTACAGGGGCGAGTGCAGCCTCAGAAGAGCCGGGGTCCGGGCGGGTGCGGCGCCTTTTTTTTTGGGAGGGGGGCGGGTGCAGCCTGAGAAGAGCCGGGGTCCGGGCGGGTGTAGCTTTTTTTTTGCCGGGAGGGGGGCGAGTGCAGCCTGAGAAGAGCCGGGGTCCGGGCGGGTGCTTTTTTTTTGGAGCCGGGAGGGGGGCGGGTGCAGCCTGAGAAGAGCCGGGGTTCCGGCGGGTTTTTTTTTGGAGGAGCGGGGAGGGGGGCGGGTGCAGCCTGAGAAGAGCCGGGGTCCCGGCTTTTTTTTTCCCGGAGGAGCGGGGAGGGGGGCGGGTGCTTGGCACGGATCTGACATCGTAATTTTTTTTTTGCCCGAGGGTTTTTCATTTTTATACCCATCTGTAGAAAGCGGTGTGTGGTAAATGTCTTGCAGTGGCGCAGTCTGCAAGCAGTCTTAGGAGGAGGAAGAGATTTCTCCTCGCTTTTTTTTTGAGCTATATTTTTTCTTTTTCTTTTACTTTGCCAGTGCTGTAGTCTCCTTTTTGGATGGGTCTTTTCCTGCCAAACCCTAAGGAAGTGTTGGAAGTGCCCTGAACTCCCGTGCTGTTCCTCTGTCCTCATACTCCTCTCACCTGCCTCCTAGGTTGTCTCGTCCAGTGTAGAACTTTTTTTTTCTGTCTATATGCTACCTATACAGTCACTAAAGTTAGTATAAATATAAAACTTAATATATGTGACTATATAAACATAAATTCAATGAAAATACATATTCACTTTATTTTTTGTTTTTTTTTTTTTTTATTTGAGAAAGAGAGCATGAGTTGGGGGGGCAGAGGGAGAGGGACAAGTTTTTTTTTCGCTGAGCAGGACCCTGGGATCATGACCTGAGCCAAAGGCAGACACTTAACCCACTGAGCAGACACTTAACCATCTGAGCCACTCAGGTGTCCCTATATATTCACATTAAATATTTTTTTTTTATTCCAAGACTCACGTGTCCAGTGTGGATTTCATCTTGAATATCCGGCTGCCTACTCACATTTCCTCTTGAGTATCTGATGGGTATCTCCCACAACATGTCCATACTGAATATTTTTTTTTAAAGATTTTAT